CTTACTCACCAAGTTATTCATGCGAGATGGTGATCCAGCTCCACTTCCAGGTGAAGCACCATGTCCACCACCACCAACAGGTGATGATGCATTAGCTCCATAACTTGATCTCTTATCTGGCGTGTTGATTGGTGAGCTAGGAAGTGGTGAATCCTGAGTTGTGCTTGTGGATTTCTTTGGTGTGGAGGTGCTATTCGTTGATTTTGCAATCTGAATGATATAGTCACATTGTGAAAACTCTTCCTGACTAATCTGTCCTCCCTCGATGCATCTCTCGCAAACTAATCTTACATTCTTGAGAATGTCTTGAACAATGGATCCCACCAGACGTGTTGGATTGTAATATTTGGAAAATGTCATTCCGTGAATTTGTTTTAACAAGGTTGTTTTGCCACTATCACCTAAGTTTCGAATAATAATTTTGTTAATCTATTTGGCTTGCATTACAACATACCTGAACCAAATAAAAGTATTTTAGCTTGATCTTGCTCTAGCATTTCGTCTAGATCGACTTCAGAACGATCACCTGTGGAGCGAAGCATCTCTTTTTTTTGTTAGTAAATCACCCCTATAAAGGTTTAGTCCAACTCGCATGAATAACATTTATTTTCGTTCCTCCATTGGGAAAATAGTGCCGATTTTGACATTGACCAACTTTCTAAATAAGGACTGCTTATAAAATTGTGGTTAGAAATCCATGGTTGTTAAGGTTTAGCTATTTTTCATTCGAAACTCATGGTTTCTCATTAAGAGTATTATATGGTTGCAAGTACGGAGAAAAGAAACCTTTAACATTCATGCGAAGAGCATTGGCCAATAAATATTTACACTATTTTAGCCAGTTGCATTCTGTTTGACTTTAGAATAAAATAGAGAATTTTCCAAACGAAACTTGTAAGAACTCTGACTTTTAGTTCACAAGCTGATTTTCAATAAAAAACTGGAAAATTGACTTGAAATTTGACTAGTTCCTTAGAAATTCAAAGAAACTTGTTGAATCTGTGTGAAAATTCAAAATTTACCTGCAACTATCAAAATTTTGGTTGAGTTTTTAATACAACCATCCCATAGACACAATACAACCGATAAATATTGTATTAAATGTGCAGAAGAATTGATGGCATTGTTGATCAATGTTGCCATTTTCGGATTGATCACTTTTAGAATATTTGTAAACTTTGATTATGATTCTGTGTGTGAGGATATTGATGTGATTGATTGGAATATATTCCATATTATTTAATCGTGTGAGGAAATTGTCTTTCTTAAAGATTTTGCTCAATATATCAATATTGTTTGAAAAGTTGTTAAGGGGAGCATATCTATTATATGCAGTAAGGAATGGCTTGGTCAAAACTTAAAATACCGACCATGGTAATAAACCATGAATGTTAGCCACAACCGTATGGTTATGTGTGGTTTTACCAGTGGGCATTAAGGTATGGAGAGATTTAAGCAGATGAACTTTTTACAAAAACAGCCCTGTAATTAATATTCAAAATATCCATAAATGGGAGATTCGAAATTTTACAATTAAATTCAACATGCTTAAAAAAAATGTCCTCACATGTTCAAAACCTCTGTGCCTTACTAGTTTCTGTTATGGTTGTAGTAGCCTTGATGGAAAATCTTCAACATGTTAAGGCAGGTGATGCTTCACTAGCTTTAACCAAAATTTATAATACTGCATCATGTTCATCCGATGCTAATATCGTTCACTATAGATATCATGTGACG